TGAAGTTTTTTTCTTTGGTCAAGTAGAGAGAGATGAATTTATAGATTGAGATTTTAAAGGAAAAGCCACTTAACTTTGCGTTTAGATTTTGGATATATATAAAAAGGTCAAAAGTCTTCGGAGAATTTAGTTATGGATCGGATGAGATCATCACCTACGCAGTCCAATTTATGAAAAATATACATCTAGAAGCATGATCGAAAAAATCAAGTTTTGCATGAAAATTTATATATAGCACACTCAATTCCATGTGTGATATAAAACCCTTCCAAACATGTCTGATTATCTTTTGGTCTAGACGGATGGTTTAAATTTAAAAATTGACAATTTAGAAAATATAAACACTTATTTTTGTCTTGACAAAAAAAAGTCTACACAACTCACAACTCATAGTATGTATATTTGATTACAATATATTTTAGTTAGTATTTAAAACTCGAAAAGAAGTATAATCAAGGTTCGTGAGCTGAGTTATAAATCAAAGTCTGATCTTTCTAATCAGTTGAAAGATCTGAAGGCAGAACTTGCTCTTCTCCGTGTCGTTAAGGTCACTGGTGGTGCTCCAAACAAGCTCTCTAAAATGCATGGCTCTCTCTTTGAATGAATGTTTCCGTAAGAGAGAAGTGAGAAGAGATCGCCATACCTCTTAGAGAGCTTGCTAGCTTTCGTTGATAATGTTGCATTTTGGATTTTGGGTTTTCCTCAATAAGGGAATCAAAATACTATCCCCTATTCTGAGTTTGATCTAGCTAGCGAGGAAAATAAACCGTTTCTGCTAATCTTTTGGTTTAGGATTCGCTTATGTCTACAAGACTAGACATATATCATATATGACACATTCATGTGATTAATGTGTACTCATTGTATCGATGCCATATGGATTTATGATTGTTAGTGTTTGCGGTTGCGTTTGCTTCTATCTTTTATGTGTGTGTTTCATCTTAAACAAAATTCCATTGATAATTCTGAATGCCACGCACATTGGCGTGTAAAAGGATCAAGACCTAGATTTAGTCTCATGCTTCTGCATATGTTGCATGCACTTGCACAACTGGCTCATATATAGATCCAGTTGTTGCCACTAGATCTCCGTCCCAAGACGAGAGCCATCAGGAGAAGACTAACCAAGCACCAGGTATTTTACTATGATAGGTTTCTCTATTCAATTCAATGCCATTATACCCGGTGTGGTCCATATTTAATAACTTTATTCACTACTTTGATAGGCGTCGCTGAAGACAGAAGGAGAGAAGAAGAAAGAAATGTACTTTCCAATTAGAAAGTATGCCATTAAAGTTTAATAATATTTTCTTGTTGTATTCCTCTGCTTTTGCTGTCAAAGATCTTCAATCCTCTCTAATGTATCTTGAACTATCTTTAATTAAAGATTTTGTTTCTTCAAACTTATTGTATGGTTTATCACACCTTTTTATTTTAAATATGGTGTAAAGTAAGTGTAAACCCTTTCGACTTTTGACAAGTAGCTCTGTATCACTATGTATATGGTTTGTGTCCAAGTTCTAAACCGGAAAATCCGGCTAGAAGTGTAAACAATCTTATCATTTGGGACCTTGGGATTTTATTTTCCACAAATCCAAGAAAGGATCAAAGCCGAATCGGAACTGAAAAGGATAAAAGACAATTTGGTGTAAATCATGCTCATATGTATTCTAAACTTTTGTAAACAAACTGAAATTGACTACCCCTATTCTTGGTTAGGGATAACCGAAACCGGTTAAGTAAAATAGCCTTCGTCGTCTTCAACAATTAATTAGGGTTTATGCAATCTAAACAGCACACAAGAGACTAGAGAGAAGGAGACAGAACAAGACCTCCGTTCAAAGCTGGTTGGTCCTCTGCTACACAAATCAAAAGGGTACAACAAAGTACCAATTTTTAACTTATTGGAAGCAAAAAAGCTCTTAGTTTTATCGTTTCTCAAAAAATTTCCCTTTTTTTTTTCCCTCAGCTCACTGGAAAAAAATGTCTGCAAAGTGGCGAGCTCTCCAGCATCGCCATCGTTATACTTACAGTGCTATCATCTTCCCCAGCTCGTTCACAGCTTCTTTGAGCCAATCTAGTTTGTCTCAGTCTTGTCCCAAATTCTACTCGGACATTGGAGAATTGGTTTCGTTGAATTCAATCTACGCGCAAGTTAATCACGCAAAGAGAGTTGTTTCTTCGTTCGGAGAGGTACTCGCCAAGACCCATGAAAACGAAGGAGAGAGAGAGGCACTTTATGTACGGGAAGCTATTAGGTTTTTCTTGGAGATTCTGTTCATGGAGAATTCTTTGCCTCTACATAGGACACTTGTCTCAGCCTTGGCTAAAATCCGTAAGTTCCATTCGGTGATGAGCTCATGTTTTCGGGAGCTTTGTGATGAATATGGTGGTTTGGAAGATGGTGGGAAGCGATTCTGTGTGTCTAGAGTTGCTTTATCTGTGTTGGGTATGCCAAAGTTGGGATATTTTGTTGGTATAATTGAAGATTGCGCGGTTTTGGTCGGTCATGATATTGTTTCGGGGTTGAATGGTATTATCTTAGAGACTGAAGCTTGTGCTAGGCCTCCTCCTACTGTTATGGAGCAATGCCAAGAGGCTTTGTCTTGCTCGTATTACTTGTTTCAGCGGTTTCCTTTGAAGTTTCAAGGTTTAGTTGGGGAGGATGCAAGTTTTATGGAGAGAGTTTTTGGGGTTCAATTAAGCATTTTGAAGTCGGTGGCATTTTCTCGGGATTGTTATGTGGCTGCTGGTGTGAGTTTTTGTGCTGCTCTGCAGGTCTGTCTCAAAGACGAGGAGCTTGTATTGTTTATAGCGCAAGGTATTTTTTGCTGGAGTAGTGCCGTTAGATTTACTGATATCGTTAGCAAGATTCCATTTGCTGGGGACATTTGTTCTGAGATATGCAGTTTTACATCTTTGAGTAGACTCTGCTTGATCCGAGGTATTCTTACTGCAGTTTCTAGGGGTATTCTTGTTTCCTCTTTTGCTCGGTTGAGTAACAGTGATTGTGGTCACAAAACTATTCTGTATGACGGAATTTTGCCCGAACTTTGTGATTTATGCGAGAACCCCACTGACAGCCATTTAAATTTCCATGCACTAACTGTGATGCAGATCTGCCTGCAACAGATCAAGACGTCTCTGTTAACTGATTTATCAGAAGATTATGATCCTATGCCAGACAGCATGGCAGCTCGGGTACTCAAACTTATATGGAACAATTTGGAGGATCCTTTGAGCCAGACAGTCAAACAAGTTCATCTCATGTTTGACCTCTTACTAGACATTCAAACCACGGTTCACCAGACAGATGATAAAGTGGGAGCAAGGGAATCTTTGCAGAAAATTGTCAAATATCTTCTTCGTTTAGGATCACGCTGTAAGGGAAGGTACGCTCCATTAGCATCCTTGACAAAGCGGTTAGGTGCTAAGACTTTGTTGGCTATGAGCCCTAACCTACTGTTTGAGATGGCAAATGCATATAGTGATGATGATGTATGTTGTGCTGTCACATCATTTATAAAATGTTTCCTTGAAATGTTGCGTGATGAATGTTGGGGGAGCGAAGGTGTTGAACAGGGTTATGCGCGTTATCGAGAACATTGTTTGCCTCCTTTCCTTTACGGGCTTGCTTCTGGCATTTCGAAACTCAGGTCCAATTTAAACACGTATGCAGTACAAGTTTTGCTGGAACTGGATGTAGATAGTATATTCCCTTTGCTTGCGTTTATATCAATTAGGCCGAGTGACGAAGAGACCAAGCTAATATATACTGAGCTGAGTAACATGAGTATAGAACTGACTGTTGAACAGAAAGTGGCTGTTTTAGTGTCACTGCTGAAAGTTTGTCGTACACTTGCATTCCTTGAAGGGGATATTGAACAAAAAGGAAGTGTTGATGCATTTGCATTTGTCCAAATTAAGGGTATTGAGTTAAAAGTTCCCATTGAGTGGCTAAAAATGGCCTTAACCCATGTTGATGAGTCGGTTCGTGTGGATGCTGCAGAGACTCTCTTCTTAAACCCCAAGACAGCTAGTCTTCCATCCCCTTTAGAGCTCTATCTCATGAAGGTAGCTGTTCCCTTGAACATGAGGTCATCTTCTACAGGTTTTCAAATGAAATGGACCAGTTTGTTTGGGAAATTTTTTTCTCGGGTCCGTACGTCGCTGGAAAAGCAGTATAAGCTAGGGAGCTGGCAACCACTTCTAGCCATTGGAAACAGTGAGCCATGTTTAAATAAAAAAGGCGACGAGAATGCAGTCCTACGAGCAGAGAGTCTGTTCAAGTTTATGAGGTGGTTGAGTTCCTTTTTGTTTTTATCTTGCTACCCTTCGGCTCCTTTTAGGAGAAAAATAATGGCGACGGAACTTATAAAGATCATGATTGAAGTCTGGCCTGTCGTGCCTTCTAAGGGCCCCACTTTGCATGAAGGTCATCTTTACCCATACTGTGATATTGTGACTTCGCATGATTCAACATTATTGCTGGTTGGATCGATTGTTGATAGTTGGGACAAGATTAGGGAGAATTCTTTCCGTATTTTGCTTCATTTTCCAACTCCATTTACTGGCGTTTCAAGTGAAGACATGGTCCAAATCATTATTCCTTGGGCCAAACAACTAGTCTGCAGTCCACGGGTAAGAGAGAGTGATGCAGGTTCTTTGACTCTGAGGCTTGTCTTTAGAAAGTACGTATTGGACCTTGGATGGATAGTCAAGGTTTCGACCAATGTTGTTTGTTGTCAAAGAGAGAGTGAAAGCATGAATGGTCTTTATCAGAACTCTAAACCCATGTATCCTGTGATTGAGTATATCAAATCAGTTATTGATTGGCTTGATGGTTCTGTGAAGGAGGGAGAGCGTGATCTCTCTGAAGCATGCAAGAACAGTTTTGTTCATGGGGTATTACTGGCTTTGCGTTATACTTTTGAGGAATTAGACTGGAGCTCTAACGCAGTGTTATCTAGTATATCAGAGATGAGAAAGGAACTGGAAAAGCTTCTTAAATTGGTGACACGAATAACTACATTAGCACTCTGGGTGGTTTCTTCAGATGCTTTGTGTTTGCCTGAGGATATGGATGACATAATAGATGATGATAGTTTCTTGTCAGATGTTCAAGCTAATGCTGCCCCTGTTGTCTCAGAGGAACACAAGAATACATATTCAAAACCTATGCATCAAACAGTACAATCAGAACAGGTAGTTATGGTTGGTTGCTGGCTCGCTATGAAGGAGGTACTGATTCTGTCATCTTTCTGATAATTGTCCTTACTTCGGTATCACTTTTTTTGTGTTTTCGTTTTTCTTAATGCTTTTCTCGACTAGTTGCTCTTTTCATCCTGGTTGGAGAATACTGCATTTATAATTCCTTGGAGTAACATCCTAATATAAACAATTTTCTTTTGTCAGGTGAGTCTTCTTTTAGGAACCATCATAAGAAAGATTCCATTATCTACCGGCAGCCATACACCTTTGGAAAATGGTGATCCGGCTTCTGCAGTCCCTGATGATTCAGTGATAGGAAATTCTGAATCTCTGCTTGACCTGAAGCAACTTGAAAAGATTGGAGACCACTTCTTGGAAGTACTTTTGAAAATGAAACACAGTGGTGCGATAGATATGACAAGAGCTGGATTTACAGCGCTGTGCCACCGTTTACTATGTTCTAACGATCCAAGGTATGATTTTAAGCTTCTTGCGTGTCCATGTAACTTGTTTTTATATTCACTGACATATTGTGTTGTTTTTTTTCTTTTCGTAGACTTTGTAAGTTGACAGAATCCTGGATGGAGCAACTTATGGAAAGAACTGTGGCCAAAGGACAAACAGTGGACGATTTGTTAAGAAGAAGTGCAGGAATTCCTGCTGCATACATTGCTCTTTTTCTCTCAGAGCCGGAAGGTTCACCAAAGAAGCTTCTCCCACAGGCGCTTCGGTGGCTAATAGGTCTTGCAGAGAAGCCTCTCATGGATACCATGGAACAGAACGGTTCTAAACATATGAATGAGGAGGTCAATTCTTCTGATATGCATTCAAGCAAAAAACTTTCAAAGGTCCGTGATGAAGGTGTTGTTCCAACGGTGCATGCTTTCAATGTTCTCAAAGCTGTTTTCAATGACTCAAACTTGGGCACTGATACTTCTGGGTTTTCATCGGAGGCTATGATTGTTTCAATAAGATCCTTTTCTTCACCATATTGGGAGGTCAGAAACAGTGCCACACTTGCATACACTGCCTTGGTCCGTCGAATGATTGGATTCCTTAATGTTCAAAAACGTAGATCTTCTCGGCGTGGCTTGACTGGGCTTGAATTTTTTCACAGGTATGTCGATAAGATCCTCCCCTGAAAAACATATTTGTAGTTGTCTCTAGATTTAAGAATGCATTGTGTTTCTTCCAGTAGTTAATGTTGTGTTGGTTTTCTTACAGGTACCCCTTGTTGCACCCTTTCATATATAGTGAACTAAAGGCGGCAACTGATTTGCTCGACACATCTGGTCCATCAGATTCAAACCTCGCAAATCTTGTCCATCCGAGTTTATGGCCCATTCTCATTCTCTTATCTAGGCTTAAGCCTTCACCCATTGCAAGTGAAACTGGAGATGACCTGGACCCGTTCGTTTTCATGCCCTTTATTGTGAAATGCTCTACTCAAAGCAATCTCCGTGTTCGTGTTTTGGCATCCCGTGCTCTAGTAGGTCTTGTTTCCATTGAGAAACTCCAAACTGTTCTTCTCCAAATTGCCTCAACATTACCTCCTAATGGGGCCCAAGGTGGGTCCTTCAATTATCTGCACGGAATTTTGTTGCAACTTGGTAATCTCCTAGATACAAACTGTAGAGACCTTGCTGATGACTCTAAGAAGGATCAGATTATTGGAAAATTGATCAATGTCCTTGCAAAATGCACGTGGATGGCTTCTCCATTGTTGTGTCCGTGCCCGATCCTCAGTACATCATTCTTAAGAGTACTTAATCATATGCGAGTTATTGGATCAACATGCTCTGAAAGCAAAAATCTAAGGGACATTTACAAATTGCATTTGGATCTATCTACAAATTGCTTGGATGCAGATGGTTCTTATGGTTTCTCCTATTATGACCCTACGATTGCTGAGCTTAGGGAACAAGCAGCTGTATCTTATTTTGGTTGCGTATTTCAGCCATCTGATGAAGCAGCTGAAGTTTTCCAGATTATTCAAAGACCACACTTGCGATTGCAGAAAGTTCCTGGAGCATCAGATTTTCCTGACCTTAACGAAAGGCTCCTTCGTTGTATATCTGATCAATCATATGAAGTTCGTCTTGCAACACTGAAGTGGTTTCTGCAGTTTCTGAAGTTGGAAGATTCCAGTTTCTTAGAGTCGAGCAGTATTTGGAACTGGGCAAAAAAGGGTCTCCAGGTGATATTATTGGAGCTCTTGGACAAGGAGAAAAACCATAAATGTGAGAATTACATTCTAAGGGTTCTTTGCCAGTGGAATCTTCTTATGTTAAAAAAATCATCTAAAGGGGAATCTGTTGAAGGCATTTATGTTGGTTCGTTGAATTATGATTCGGTGTTTCATCTTTGGGGAAGGCTGACTTCGCTATATGAGAGCGCACGACATGCGAAAACCCGAGGTACACTCATGTGTTGCCTGGCAATTTGTGTGAAGCATCTCACAGGTTTGTTCTTCCACAAAAACGAATCTGAAGAGGAAGAGGAACCAAGAAGGGGTTTTGTAATTGATTGTGTCTCCTACTTTGTTAACTTGATCAAACAGAAAAGCTCATCATCCGAGCAAGTGAATGTCCGCCTGGCATCTGCAGAAGCTATTATAGCATCCGGTATACTGGAACAAGCGAAGCTCATCGGTCCTCTTGTCTCAAATCACCAAATTCCTTCTGCAGCTACACCAAGCAAGTTTCAAAATGCTTGTGATGTATACGCATACCAAATTCTGGAGATGTGGTTCACTTGCATCAAACTGTTGGAGGATGAAGATGATCCCATCAGGTCAAAACTTGCTATGGATGTCCAGAAGTGTTTCTCCACTGACATGGAAGTTCCTACTCAAGTAGAGAAGGTCTTGGAATTGAGCTTCAATCATTTATCTTCTGTCTTTGGGCACTGGAACGACTATTTCCAATATCTCTCGAGATGGGTCTTCAACACCGCAGATTACACATCCCTTCCAAAGGGAGGTAGTGATCTAGTGAGACGGGTTTTCGACAAGGAAATCGATAATCACCATGAAGAAAAGCTTCTGATCTTGCAGTTTTGCTGTTACCATCTACAGAGACTACCAAACAGAGAATTTTCCCCGGGACAACTACTCGAGTGGAGGAGTAAATTCCACAACCAGTTGCTTTCTTTCACTAAAGACCATGTCGGGAAACAAAGAGAGAGCTGGGTAGGCGGGGTCGGGAACCACAAGGATGTGTTTTTGCCACTCTATGGTAATCTCCTCGGTCTCTACGTCTTCTCCAACGGCATTTTCAGAGTCTCAACTGATAGCAATGACAAGAAAACTCTGTTTTCTGATATGGTTGAACTTGGGGATGCCCTGAATCCGTTTTTGAGGAACCCTCTGGTGTCTAACATGTTCCGAGTAGTTGTCAGTTTACATGAGAAGTCGCTGGATGATTCGTTAGTGGATTTATCTACTGTTCTTGCAGGAGATATTTGGGAAGGTTTTGATCCATATTTTCTTCTCACATAGCTGAAAAATATGAA